GGTCCCGTTCCCCCCCGGTCCCGGTGTCCCTCCCCAAACCCCGGCCCCGGTTCCGGTTCTGGTCCCGGTTCCCCACGGTGCCGGTCCCGGTCCAGTCCGGTCCCCACCTTGTCACGGTTCCTCCCGGTCCCGTTACTCACCCCCGGTCCCGGTCCCGGTTTTGGTCCCGGTTTCCCCAATCCCGGTGTCCCCCCTTGTCCCGGTCCCGGTCCGGTTCCCCCCGGTCCCCACCTTGTCCCGGTGTCCCCCCCGGTTCCCCTCGGTTCGGTCCCGGTCGCGGTCTGGTCCCGGTTCCCGTAATCCCGGTGTCCCCCCCTTTTCCCGGTTCCGGTCCCGGTTCCCCCCGGTTCCGGTCCCGGTCCGCTCCCCCACCTTGTCCCGGTCCCTCCCGGTTCCTCCCGGTGCCCTCGGCCCGAGCCCCGCGGGGGGCGCTGAGCCCGTGAGGGGGCGTGACCGCCGCTGGCCCCGCCCCTCTCACCACCAGCCAATCCCTGCCTGTTTTCTTTATTAGCCACGCCTCTCTACAAACAAACCCCGCCCTCCCCGCGCACGCTGCGGGCCTCTCATTGGTCGGCGCCGCCCCAAGCCACGCCTCCAGAGAGGACAAAGCCACGCCTCCGCGCGGAGAGGAGGAAAGCTCCGCCCCGTCCGCGCTGCCACGCCCCTGGCGCTCGTCTTAGCCAATGATCGCGAGGGGGGCGTGGCCGCGGTCAGGCGGCGCGGCCATGCGGGGGGGCGTGGCCTGACCTACATTGGGCCAACGGGGAGGCGCGCGAGGGGCGGGGCCTGACCCAGTTTCGGCCAATGGGGAGCGGGCGGGACCGGGGGCGGGGCCTGAAGCACGCGGGGCAGCACGTGCGGGGCGCTCTTAAAGGGGCCGCGCCCGGAAATGGCGGCCGGGAAAGGGGGAAGGGAACACCAGGAGCGCCCCCGCCTCGGCCCTGCCCCAGTGACGTCACAGCGCCCCCCGACCCTTCCCCAAATTCATCCTACCACCTCTGGGTGAGACCGGGGGCGTGGCCAGCTCCAGTCCCGCCGCTCTGATTGGTCCCGAGCCTTTGGCCGCCATCTTTGCTGAGGGCAGCCGCCGCCATCTTGTCTCGCGCCGCCATCTTGGCGGGGCAGGCGGCGGCGCCGGAGCCATCTTGGGTGAGGGCAAGGCCCCAAATCCCCTCCCGGAGCCTCTCGGGGGTCCCGGAGCCCCCCGGTTTAACGTGGGGGGGGGTCCCGCCATCCCCGGGGACCCTCCGTGAGGGGAAAAAAAGGGGCGGGGCAGCTGCCAGGCCCGTCCTCACGTGACCCCCGGCGCTGCTTCCGCTTCCGCTTCCGGCGGGGGCGGCGCGTCCGGCCCGGCCCGGCCCGGCCGAGCGGGGTTCGGGTTCGGGACGGCCCCGGGACCCCCCCGAGACCCCCGGGACGTCCCCAGGTGAGCGACCACCCCCCCTCCAGCCTCCCCCAGCCTCCCCCAGCC